CACATAGTTGATGCATTACGTATAGTATATGTACTACGTCGTCAGACGTTAAATATCTACAAATGTTCAAAACTGGATGTAGTGATTCTTATCATGGCGATAGGAAGTCCACGCATAAGTGCATTTGACTTCAAACGTAGGTATAATTAATTATCACCAAGTGAAAAAAGCATGATCACCTAACTGACGAATGAAAACGAAATGAATTCGCTTGGTTATGGGGATTTTATCATTTACAATGGTATGCTTCTGATGGTTTCTGATGCATCATGATCAACAGGAAAGCCAATATGTGTTGGCATCGGATGCAGTCTAGTTATTCAGTTTGGCATACTAGTGACTGATTTGTCAGAACTTTTCTATGTAATGAGCCGTTCACCTTGTATATCATTATCTGCCATCTTTTAATCAACGTTTACTGTGTTGTTAAATAATTCTATAGGTTAAATGAAGATTGAGTAAGCATGAGATTCTGTCAGGTGATTTAATAACAAATCTTTCGGATGACATAGACACAGTCATGGGTGAATATACTTAGGGAGAATAATACTATGAAAGTTGTTCTATTTGACGAGAAAGAGCAGATAAAAATTCCTCGAAGCAATTAAATATCGCTCATGTTGACAAACTATCTGATTTTTGTTGTGCGTTCAGAGAAAACGATTCAGCACGCAGAATTTTCAATAAGAAGAACTTTGATTTTTTTTCTTGAAAAACATGTTCCTCAACTTCTTCTGTACTTGTGTGCCAGGAGAAAAACTACGCAAAAGTTCACTCTGGAAAATTTCTACGCTTTTTCCTAACATTATATCTACATATAAAAATATATCGATGATATTTCGAAAAGTCACTCCAGAAATCGGAATTTTGAGAAGAAAAAAGCTGAGTTTTTTTCACCAAAAGTGTTTTTCTACAGTCTACCAATATTTCGAAGCCGAAAAAGATCGGAAAAAGTTTGTTTGGAAAAGGTGATGAACACTCATGGACTCGCTCAACTATGTTTTATGAATCTATGATTGAAAGTATGAGAATAGTAGATTATGAATAAGAAGATGAAGATTGAATACATTTCGATTGTGGAATTGACATGAAATGTTCAACTGTAGAGAATATAGAGAAAGAAAATATCTGAAAAACATCGCATTATTTCACCTTCATTATTAGAATTGAAAGACAAAAAATGAATATAAACTGGTGTCTATAAATCAAATTCGTCCAATGGATATTTGAATACACGAATAGCGATTCAGTTGAATGAGTTTAACAAAGAAAAAAATTGTTTTGTTTTGAACGTTGTAACTATTATTATAAACTGTGAAAGTCTTCAACAAAAAAGAATTGATCGTACATTCGGATTTAGTCTAATGAGTAATATTCACACTATTTAGTTTGAAATTGAAGGATGAGTTGTGCGAAAAAGATTCTCTGATATAATAAAGACAAAATATATTGAAACTTTGTTCCCAAGCAGAATAATCTGATATGTTGCATAATTTCATCAATGTTTCAATGTGAGTGTAACTTCTTTTTTTCATTTAAATACACATTTGTGTGATCGATCAAGTAAAGTACGTTTTCTTTCCCTGAAATCTAATTAAGCTGCTAAACAGTAAATATTCAGTCATGTTCGTTGTGCATTATGAGCAGTGCGCATGAGTAACATTTATGTAAATCGTTCACCGATGTTTCCAAACACTAGAAATTTCGTTTCTTCTCGCAACCACAGAATCTCTCGATTATTTTCCTACAAATCAAAAAATCTGTACTTTTACTTTTCTTCAATAAAAATAAAACAAAATGTTCGTATTTGATGCAACACTCGATAATAAAAATAGCGCATTTTGTTTCAAATGCGAATGCCACAGAGTTCACCTTTCAAATCTACGTCAATTCCATGATTAAAATAATAAACAGATGTAGAAGTATATAGTTCATTTTATTAACAATTCACTAATCATGATGATTTGGGTATTAACATCAACAGCACCAGGTCCTAAAAATATGCCGAAAATTAAATAATTGAAACGCGAATATCAAAGAATGGTACAAACTTCACTAATTCGAAGAGATATGTTTTCCGAATCATTGGATGAAATTTCTGAGAAATCTTTCAAGACAGTCGGTTGTCATAAATCAATCACATATTGAAACCACGTAAATGAACTCATCTTCAGTAGGCAATATTTCGATACAATTTCACTAACGAGGCAGCCTTAGAGACATTTCAATTGATCATTATGAGTATATTGTTATACAAATTCAAGAGTAACGAGATTCAGGAATATCCATAAAACAATGTTTTACACGAGAGAGTTCGCTACTTATAATATTTTCGCCCTCAAACAAACCAGTCAGATCACTGAATGAAAAGTTGTTAGAAATAGTCTCTTTTCTCATTTTTCTTGTATTACTTAATGCTGTGGATATCAACCTCAAACTTGAATGTTGCGCGAACTTATTGCATGGCTACAGTCTTACTATATGGTACAGTATTGATCGTGGGCAGATCAAATTTATATTACTTGGTTCTAATTATGAGCGGTGTTGGAATATATGATTGAAGAAATGAAAATACGCCAATGACAATTCCGATAAATATTGAAAAGAAATACAATCTTAACAAATTCGTAATGAATATTATTCTCTCACAAAACTGTTATTATACACAAATTCGATGCTTTTTTATTCCGTTATTTTGACCGTTGATAACAAAAAACTATGAAATTCATATCAAGTCATTTCGTCCTTCTTCTATTCTCTCAAATATCATCAATCAAATTGATTCTCGTACTTATTCCTCGATGATTCTCAATAACAAGAGCTGGATGAATGTTCTTAGTTGATCAAGATAAGTCTGTTACATTATAATTAAGTTAGATAAAAATGCGCCAAACAAATTAGAGATTTGACAAATGTTAAAATGCAGGGTAGCATTTTCAAAAAATTCGATTATTCATTGTCTTACTTAGAACTTCCCTTATCGATTACTGAATTCCTAAATTCTCACTATAAGTCGTTACAATTTAAATAGACGAAATTTATTTGTGGAGTTCTTGTTGCACGAGACTGATCCAATATCCCATTCCGAAAATAGTCGCCTCATCATTGAAGTTGTAAGTTGGTGAATGAAGTTCGCCACTTTGATTTCCATTTCCCATAAAAATAAATGCACCTGGTTTCCTCTGAAGAAATTCAGCAAAATCTTCTGAGTTCATGATTGGTGCTGCGTTTCCATCGACATTTTCAGCGCCCACGAGAGTTCCAGCTGCTTTGATCGCTTTCTGTGTAGCTTGAGCATCATTAATCAGTGGAGGTCTTCCTCGTCTAAACACTACGTCAGTAGTGCACCGAAAACTGGCAGCAAGACCCTGTGCCAATTCTCGCAAGCGTTGCTCGATTGTATCGCGAACCTCTTTTGTGTAACTACGTGCAATACCACCGATGCGAACCTCTGATGGTAAGACATTTAACGAACCAAAAGCGCCACTTTGAATAGCACCGACACTAATCACTGCAGGATCGATCGGTGCGACGTTTCGACTAATAATAGTTTGCAATGAGAGAATAAACTGTGCTGCTAGCACAGTCACATCGGTAGCAAAGTGTGGTGTAGCACCGTGACCACCACTACCTCGAAACGTCACGTTCCAAATAT